GTGGGTCGTCCTGGAGCACATGGCAGGGGATTGAGTCCGGACGGCTCTTGAATGTCTCCAGTGAGGGATAGGCTACACACAACCTCTGGGCAGTCTGTTCCCGTGCTAAGTCACATGCACAGTAAAAAGTTCTTCGTGTTCAGGTGGAATTTCTGTGCATCAGTTTCTGCCCGTTGTCTCCTGTCTTACTTGTTTGCACCACCGAGAAGAGCTCCATCCTCTGGGCAACCCCCGTTTACATTTTTATAGAGGCACATGTAAATATATATTTAATTCTGATTCTCTTAGGACCTTCCTTTGTATTTTTATTCCTATTTCATCAGCTCATTTAACTCACATTAATGTCCCATTATTTGCAATGTTTAATTGCTTAAGCTCCTCAAATCAGTTTCCTGAGTGGCCGAATTAGTCTTTCTGGCCAGGTGCCCCTTTTTGTTCTCGTGGAGTGAGTTGTTGCAGGTTTGTTGATCAAGTCTTTGCTGCTTCATTTGTGGTGAGATTAAATTGTAAGATACATGAAGACTGATTTTTTTTTTTTTTTTTTTTTGAGGAAAAGGAATGTTGGTGCCAGCTGTATATAGGCAAACCAGGAAGGGTGTGCTTGCAGCTTCCCACCCTGAGGTGTAGTTAGACACTAAAAAATTGCTTTTGCTTAGAGTCAGGACTTTCCCCTTTCATTCTTTTCCCATTATTTTTACCATGCTGCCGTGCCCTTCAGATAGCTCTTCTAGTCAATAGTGTTAAATAGTCCCATAGCTATTTATAATTGTTCTTTACACTTCAGAGATATGTTTCTAAGATAGTGTTGATGTTCACTGTAGTGTCTGATATTTGTAACTGCAACATTTTAGGCGTTTAAAGATACTGGCAAAGCACCTGTGGAACAAGAGGTGGCGATTCATCGCATTAGAATCACTTTGACGAGTCGCAATGTAAAATCACTGGAGAAGGGTGAGTAGTACTTCTCTGCTTACTTGGGTAGCTTGTCAAGTAATGAATAATAGGTGCTGTGTAAGGCATTGCAAAATACAATGTATTGAAACCAGTTGTAATTAAAGATGTTGCTGTTTGCCTTTCTGTACATGCCTCAGCTCGCAAAGCCAGCCCAAAGTGCTTCATACACCAGAAAGCAAATTCTGATTTAATTTTTAATGAAAGTTAGTGTTTTGGGGGTTTTCATTAGGTGGAAAACTTATGTCGTAATGACTCATGTAAGAGTGCAGCTTCTTCCCTTTAGTTCTTATGGAGAATTTTGAAATAGTTATCACACTTTGAATGTATAAGAACTGAAAGACACTGGTTTCTCCATATTTTGTTATTTGTGTTATGAAGAGTTTATGTAACATTCTTTAAAAAAGTTTTTATCTTGTTTAGGAACTGGGTTTGCCAGTGTTTAATCATACAATAAAAATGTAAAAAAAGTTACTATTTGCAGGATCTTCAGGGTGATAACAGCTTAAATATGGTTTAAACTTGTGGTAATGGCTGTTGCTTATTGTTGCACCATGACTTTGCTCATCATGTCACAACACTTCCAGTTGTACATGGTTGGCTATGAGGATAAAGCTTTAAATGAATGGCAGTGATCACTCATACGCTATTCTGAGCCAACATCTTGTTTAAAATATTTGCTTAAAAAATCAAGCAAGTAAAATAGTTGCAAACCTGAGCTGTTGCATGTCTTTTTGCAGTCTGTGCGGACTTGATCAGAGGTGCTAAGGAAAAAAACCTGAAGGTGAAGGGACCTGTTCGCATGCCCACCAAGGTACTTGATGCTGTTTTCCTGTCTTAAAAGTTGGTTTTCTTTTTGCAACTGTGTGCTTAAAAAAAGATATTTTTTTAAAAGAGCAAAAGGTGAGGTGAAAAGCAGTGCTACTAAACTGAGGGTGACCACATGTAAAAAGATGATTTCACAAGTTGCTTGGACACCTAGGGTAACTGTTAAGTGCAAAACATGTTGAATGTGGAAGGGTCTTTTCTGTTCACTTTATTTTAGTAATGAACTCATTTTTTTAAATGAAATTAAATATATAGGGAAGGAGTGTTAACATCAGCAGACCATAACTTAAAAGGTAACTTTCTAATGGCATAGGTACCATACAGTGTTTTAGGTGATCATCTTTTCATATGATTGTAGATTACTCCTCTCAGTGCATCAGCTAAATACCCCATCTTTGACTTTCCAGACCCTGCGGATCACTACCAGGAAGACGCCTTGTGGTGAGGGTTCCAAGACCTGGGATCGCTTCCAAATGCGTATCCATAAGCGGCTCATTGACCTGCACAGCCCTTCTGAGATCGTGAAGCAGATCACTTCCATCAGCATCGAACCAGGGGTAGAAGTTGAAGTTACTATTGCCGATGCCTAAGCGATGGTCATCGTTGAATAAAGTTGATTTACAAATTTTCATCACTTGTTTCTCTTCTTACGTGTGCCAAGAGATAGTTCTGTGATGGTTTTTGTGAGGAAGCACAACAGAAACCACAATCAGAGTGCTGTGTGAGAGGACTGTATTTAAGGAAGAACATGCAAGCTGTAAATATCAGGAAAATTTCAGTTGGGTGTCCTGGTTTCATTGGAGGCTGGCAGCTGTATGGTTGTGCTGCACTTCATGAAGAATATATTTTCAATAATTTAGGGTTTGATTTTGGCTGAAGTTATAGTTTATACACAGACATTATACACAGTACCTGCATTAAAATTTATATTTAGCTAAAATTACCAAGTTTTCAGCTCTTTGTTCTTGCTGTGCAAGACTGAACTAATGCTTAGCTTATTTGGATTTTTTTTTTCTTCCCAAGTGTGTCACAATCAAAGGATCTTGGGGGAGGGACTAGTTACAAAAGTTCATAATTTGTGGTGAACACATTGAATTAACAAGTTTTTTCTTTTGATGTGCATGTAGAGTCACAAAGCTGAACTATGGAACTACCTAGTTGTCTTCAGGTTTAGATTTCCATAGATATTAATGCTAAGAGTAAGCTTCATATGTAAAGCAACAAAAGCCATTTTTATTGCTGCTTTTAAGTCTCTCAAGGGAACTTTGATTAATCCTTAAACCAACAAAACAAAGCCCAGAGTTAGAGAAAACAGTTTTGTTTAATCCATTAAGGATCAGGTTGCTGCTTCTGCTTCGAGCATAGGAGAGAACTTGAATTCTAATTAAAACAAGGAGTGGTGGTTCTCCACAAGCAGGTTCAGGTCCTGTTAATGTTTGCTAAGACCTAAAACTGACCAAAGCTTGAGCTTTCCTACTCGAGATACGAGAGGCATGAAATTGAAGGCCTTACAAGGATTCTGACCCTACAGTTAGTTGGCTTGAGAGCTTTGGTAGAAGGGAGGTGAAGAGTGAGTTAGTGGGAACAGATTCTGTCAAGCCTACTTTGAGAAACAACTATGTGAGCAGAGGGGAAAATACCCCCCATCACAAAACACCTGTGTCTTCCTTAAAGTCTGTTTCTGGTAATACGCCACAGATAAAAGCTGTCTGACAAATACTTCTAGCTGTAGTTTTAAAATTACTTGTTTATTATATGGGTTGCTCTTTACAGGAATAAATGGGCAAACAAATAGCACATGGAGATACTTTGCACTCCCTGACATTAGTTACTTGTACACAAGTAGTCCTCCTGATTACCAGACTAGCCCTGTGACTGAAAGCACTTGGAGGGATCTAGGCTAGGTTTGGTGCTATTTCTGTCTTCCAAAACTGGAAAGGTTTTGTATCTGCTTACATCTGGCTGTGCCTCTGACTTGCTGGGCGCCTCTTAAACACACCTAAACGACCTGAAGTCCCACCGATCTTTCAGCTGCGGCACTTCAGGGACCAATTTCCTTTGTCATCTCTTCACTTGTCTCCAACTCAGAAACGCAGATGCAACTGTACCTTTGTGTCTGGGTCCCGCCCTGTGCAGATATTTCTGCTGCCCGTCTACTGCATGAACAGGCCGGCTCACACAGGAGGGCTTTGCGTTTGTTACCGGGAGGCTCGGTCCTTAGCTTGTGGAAGGCGCTGGACCGCGGAGTTCCTCCAGGCTCCTCCCGCCTTGCCCGCCGTCCCTGACCTGCACACTCCTGGCTTCCGCGTGACCCGCACGGTCCGCGATTTTATTTATTTCCTAACTTCGTTTTCTACTTCTACACCGCGGCAGCGCCGGAACGGTTGCGTAACACCCACGCTAACTTTATATAACCCGCTCGGATGGAAACATTTAGGTACACGCGTCTCCCCCGCCCATCCTCCCCTCCTCCTCCTCTCCCTCTGCCAGGCAGAACACCCCTCTCCTCTCGCCGCCTGGCTGTCGGCTCAAAGCTCTTCTTTACTGCCGTGCCTTACTACGGACGATAAGCAAACCCTGCGTACCGAGCCACGCCGCTCCGCTCCATCCCGCCGCCCCCATTCCCTCCCTCCTTCCCGGCCGAGCCGGCGGCTCCACTGCCACGCGCTGTGCGGCGGCGCCCCCTGCCGGGCCGAGGGAGCTCTGCCCGTGCCTTCCCCGCTGCCCCGCGCTCGACCAATCAGCGCCCGCCTTCCCCCGCTCTCGGCCAATCAGCGCCCGCCTCTCCTCCCAAAACGCCCTCCCCACCCCTGCGCGGGCCCGGTTCGTGGGTTCCCGCGCGCGCCAAGGTAGCGGCGCTCCCGGGAAGGGGGAGCGGGATGGGGATCGGGCGCCCGGGTGCCCCTTAGCCCGGGTGCCTGCGGGTGTTGAGCCTGCCGGGGAGGGGGCTGCAGGTGGATGAGAGCCGTGCCCAGCTGAGGCTGTTAGCGCGCTTTCCCTTGAGTGTTTCCGAGTATAACCTGCCGGGTGGTTTTTCTTTTAAAGGTCGTACTCCCCAAACTTCTCTAGATTGTCCTGTCTTCCTCGGAAGTGCTTGTTTATATACGAGCTGGCCCCATCTTTGTCATGCTCCGTATGTATTTTTGTCCGTTCTCTCAGAAAATGATGGGCTGCTTTTTTTTAAATTTTTTTCCCCCTTTTAAATTCCTTTGCAGAGAACGATGGCTGATAAGGGGAAAAACTATGTTCCCACGGAAGTATGTGATGTGTTGGAATCGGTTTCTTTTCTGAGTGTAGAGGATAAACCTTCACCCCTGGAGTCAACAGTATTGCCTAATACAGAGGAACAGCAGGTGTGGATTGGTTTTACAAGGTGTATTCTGGTGATGCTGGGTTGTATTTTGGGTTTTTTTAAGCTTTAATAAATGCTTCTTTGGTAAGAACTGCTGTACTCCTCTTCCCCTGAGACGTGTTTGATTCTTCTGCTTATTTCTTGTATGTCACATGGGTCATAGCCAGCACCAAATGCAGATACACGGTCAATGCTATGCAATCTGATGAGCTATACTTCGAGAAAAAAAGTAAAGGACTTCAGTAAAATTTGAATGTAATGAGATGGTACTGCTCTTTTTAATAAGCTTTAAAAAATACATGGATCCTTGATGTGAAAGCTGATTAGGTGCTTGGAAATAAAAATCTATAATGCTCTGCTGTGCTCAAGCAGAAGATAATATTCCCAGCTCTGCCTTTTTAGAGGGATTTGTTTCCTGGGTGAGTTTTCCTCAGGTGACTTTGCTTTGTCTGATTAGTGCTGCTGGTCATGACAGGGCTGTGGAGAGTTCTGGTAAATCCATCTGCTGAATGAAATGTTGCCAAAGTGAAGACCAAAACTCCTTGAGAAAGGAAGGAGTGCTGGGATCCCTCTAAAATCCTCCCTGCTACTATTGCTTTACATGGGAGGGGAGACTGTTGGGGGATGGAAAAGGCCACCTGAGCAACTGAGAATGGTTTCCTGCTTGTTACTGTGAGGAAGATGAGGGTCTGGTGCCGGGATGGTGGTAAGGAAGTGGTCTCTTGAGGCTAGGAATGTGTCAGTCAGTGCTAATGCTCCATAGGAAATGAAAGTGCTGTGCAGCAGCTGTTAGGATAACACAGCTTGAATTCAGTGCAGCGGGAGGCCAGAAGGTGGAAGCACTGCAGTTTGTGCCTCTGATAGTGTGCTCTTTTAAAATCAAAATACTGGTTTTGTCGTGAAAGAATGCTAAAGGGAGGGGAGTGGGGGAGCCCACAAGAAAAGGGTTACTTGAGGACAGTAGAAGGGAAAGAGGCAAATAAAAGCTTGGAGTCGGAACTTGACATGAAAGGAAAATTTAAGACATCTATATAAAATAGGAAACACTGTGTCAGATGGTATGCTGATATGATTTGGGGCTGTTCTGTTTAAAAAGTGGCAATTATAATGGTGTTTTGTATTTTCTTTTTAATGAATAGGTGTATGAGCCTTTGAAAGTCTTCTTGAGAGTGAGGCCCTTTTCTATAGCAGAGCTTGAAAGCCATGAATCCCAGGTTTGTTGTAGAACTAAGAAATAAAATTTTTTTCCTCCCCTGAACAACACATAGTTGTTGTAAGGCAGAACTTTCTTTTTCCATAAGCCATGTACTGCCCTTATGTGGAATTATTGGGCATCTGGATGGATAGATGCACAATTTTTTTTTCCACCCCCATGACTTTTAATAATTTGTATGATATAGACATGCACACCTGTAGCTCTTCAAAGTTTCACTGGGTACATTATTTAAAAATTGGTGTCAACTCTCTGTAGTGCTCAAGATACAGAGGCGTTCCATGGAAGAGATTTTGCAATTCTAGGCATAATTTGAGTATCTGACCCTTAAGCTTCTTTGAAATGCTTGAATAATCTCCTACCTCATCCTGGTGGCTTCTTGCTCAGCCATCCAAAATATTCTGTAACCTCTACACTGTCAGATTCAGATGCTTCAGTGTTTTATACACACACATGTACAAACACTTAGAATTGCTCCTCTCTCCCTCATTGTGGTCACTGATGTGAAGAATTCCTTTAGCTGTCTGTCCTGAGAAGGACAAGGTCTCTATATCATCTCTTAGCCCTTGTCTTTGCAGGCTGTCTGATTGAGGAGAGGCCAGCTTGAAGAGCTCTAAGAAGGATTTAATGTTAGTTCTTATTTGCTTCTTGCAAATTGTTTTTAGAAAATGCATTCTTGCTTTTGATCTACCAGAGTTGGAACCTTGTATTGTTTTCACTCGGATAATTCCTCCCCCCTCCTTGCCCCCAACTTCCCTTTGCTTTTTCTTAGATCTCCTTGAATAATGTGTACTTCCACAGTGCTTCCAGTTTGGGAAATTCCACAGTCTGAGCTGGCTCCAAGTGTAAATTGATTTGCAAAATCAAATTGTTTCAGGAGTTTAGTACAATCCTCTTTGGAGTGAGACATTTCTTAAAAGCAGGGAGGAAAAAGTGAACATTGATGTTTGTCTAAATTTTTTTGTTTGCAAGTAGTTCAGGCTGAAGTAGTTGATCTTCCAATCTATTAGCTGTAGAATTTGTTTTGCTTGGGATTAAGGCTTTTTTCTCAGCCTCCAAAAACAGAATGATTGAAAGATCTTGAACATTTTTACTGTTTTCTACTTTCTTTACTATCACCTGAATCCAAGAAGAAAATGCTTGGTCATAAATGGAAGAAACCCACACAAAACAGTGAAGTTAACCCCGCTTCCTAATTGTTAAATGAAACAGATCAATTTAATTTTTAGGTCTTTTATTCTTCCTTGCCATGCATAATTTTCGGAAAAGCACCTTTGTTCCAAATCTGTGGCACAAAAAAAGAAAAAAAAAAAGAAAAATTAGAACCCAAGACCTATTTCTTATAGTTACAGGCTGATGCTTTAAACAAAGACAATCAGCAGGTTAACTGATCAGTTGATGCTTATAGAAATAATGGTTTATAGAAGTAAAGCTTAAGAGCTCTGGGTGAAATTCTGTACTCCTGTCAGCAATTCTCCAGAGTCACCTGTGGGAAAGTAAGAAGTTATGGTTTTTGGATACAAATGATGTCTATGGTGCCAGAAATGGTCCAGCTCCTGCCAACTTACCTGCAGGGTTAGCTGGGGGAAACAAATGGAGTGAGTTGTTACCAGCTGGCTTCCATCTCTGCAGGTCTGACTGCTTTGGGCCTCTACTCACAGGCTGCTATGAGCTTGGTGGCAGCTGATGGCACATGCTGCAGATCCTGGATTATTCTGTAGCTCTCTAGGGTTTAGTACATCTGACCAGCACTCCTGTCCCTGCTGATGTGGGAGAAATGTTGAAGGCTACATAGGTTCAGAGCCTGGCACAGTGAGGAGGTGATTGGTCTAAATTCAGAAAGCAGTTTCTTAGAGCTTCTCAGAAGCACAGAATAAGCTGGGTTTGAGGAGACCTGCAAGGATAGTCAAAGTCCATCTTCTGTCCCTTCTAGCACAGGACAGCCCCAAGAGTCACACCATGTGCCTGAGAGCATTGTCCAAATGCTTATTGAACTCTGTCAGGCTTGGGGCTGTGGCCACTTCCTTGGGGATTCTGTCCAGTGTGCAGCCATTCTCTGGGTGAAGAACCTTTTTCTAATTTCCAAACTAAACCTCCTCTGACACAACTTCAGGCCATTCCTTCAGTTCTTGTCACCGGTCACCAGAGAGATCAGTGCCTGCCCATTTTCATTTCCTTGTGAGCAAGCTGTAGGCTGCTATGAGGTCTGTACCAGTTAATTACTGGCATAGAGCTTCTATATCAGTTAACAATCACACTTGTTAATTGAGGCTCCAAGTAACAGCGGTACTTCCTACGTACATACCACACATGGATTATTGGCTTTAGAAGTTCTGGCCAGTCTCTGAACATAAATGTCTGATTAAGTTACAACCAATCCTTTCAGATGATGCATCAAGACATTGTTAAGCTATATTGGGAGTTCACTTTGCATCTTTGGTAGCCTAAATAAATTTTTCTTTAACACTGCATCCTACATTTATCTAGCTAATAAGTATTTGGTAGTTGTATTTCACCTTTACTTAATTGAGAATAGCAATAAAGTTACCTGAAACTGATTCAGTTTCTTTCATTAGTGGTAACACTGTTTATCAAAGGATAATGCTTCAGACTTAATTTACTTCATTAATTCTGCTCGTAGTCTGTTTCACACTGAAAATGACTGATGTGGAAAACCAATAGATTTCTATGTGATTTTATTTTTGTAGTGATTTTGCAAGTCACAATCACAAAATGAGTGTTTAGAAAATGTTCCCAAGGAAAATTGCTGGAAGGAATGCAAGTAAAAGTTTTTACCTCTTAGAAAACCCCAAAAGATTGCCTTGAGCCTTGACTTTGTCTACTCTGGCTTTCTTGTGAAGTGGATGCCTCTATAGTGACATGCTTTGAGATGACATAGGTAAATTGTGGGACTTCTTGTAGCTCTGGTAAATGGTGAAGACACTTGGCTTTCAGGGGTTGTTGGAGGGGGTGTTCATTTTTTGTTTTGTTCAGATAGCTTTCTTCCTGAATAACTTTGTGTTGTGTTTTGGTTTACCTTGTCTTGTTTTTTAAGGGTTGTGTAACTATTGAAGATGCGCAGACAGTAATTCTTAATGCACCCAAAGAGTCTTCTGCAATGAAAAACAGTGAAAGAGGGATTGGTCATGCTGTGCACAGCTTCACCTTTTCTCAGGTAGGCCAAATTCTTTCAAATTTTTGGTTTTGTTTTTTTCACTACAATGAAAGCTGAATTTTTTATTATGTCATGCAATGTGATTTTTCTTATTTTAATTATATGTGATACTTGCCTTTTTTTTAAAAAAACCTGCTTATTAATTACTGATAAGCTGTCAGGAAAGCTGTATTACAATGGAGGTGTCTATTAGATGAGACAAAGAAGCTTCTTTGGCAGGTCTGTGGTTTTCTTTGATTAGATGCTACAGAAACACCTTGTAGGCACAAACGTACTGTGCTTCTGCTGTTCCTGCAGACGCTTTTATCTCAGAAACCTTATGTTTGTAGGAATTTATGTAAGCATGTACTTAGGTACTTCCTTTTGAAAGCATAGCAGCTTAACTGCTTAAACCTTCTATACTGAAAGCAAATTTCTTAGCTTTGCCTACTGCAAGAAGTTCTGTTCTTACAGTTCCAAAAGATAAACAGTTCCAGAGATTGAGTTATTTAAACCTTTGTAATGCTGATTTTCTCATCAATTGTGGGTAACTGGTGAAGAGTGAGGAGGGAGTTTTACATCACCAGCAGAGCTCTTGAAAGTGTCCCCTGAACAGCATGTGCTCAATAGAATTCTAAGCAGTTTATTTTAGGAGTAGGAAAATATTAAAAAATGAGTGTAAGCCTGAGTGCCTCTCAGAATTAAGTAGGCATCCTGTGAGAACCCAACAGAAAACACTGAATCAGAAGGGGTTCAGGCAAGACAGGAGATTAAGGTGTTGTCTCCTTCCCAGCTTGCTCTGAAAAATCAGTCATGTCTAATCACTACTTAATATTTTGGCTTATTAAACTTCTTTGTGCCATTTATCACTTCTTTTTTCTTTCTTTCCCTTATCCTAGGTCTTTGGACCAGAAACTACTCAGAGTGAATTTTTTGAAGGCTCAATGAAAGATATCATAAGAGCATATGTTAATGGAGTGAATGGACTGGTATTTACTTATGGAGTTACAAATGCAGGCAAGACATTCACTATCCAAGGTATAAAATATTTGCATGTACAAAACCCGAGTCAAATCCAATGACCAGCTTACATGAATGTTTACACTTAATTTTTTAATATTTTTAAGGGACTTCAAAAGATCTTGGTATTTTACCTCGCTCACTTGATGTGATTTTTAAACACATAAGAGGAAGACATTACCTGAAGATGAACTTCAAACCATATTTGAGCAACGATGTTAAGAAACTAGAAGATGAACAAGTTAAGCAAGAAGAAGCCTTAAAAACTGCTATTCTTGCATCACTGAAAGAGGTCAGTGTCCAAATTCTTCTTAAAGCTGTTCTGCAAGACAGAAAGTTTTAAAAGTCTTTATTCCACTATTGATTCTTTATATATATATATATAAATCTACAGTATGCATATTTGGTTAACCTTGGAATAATAAGACAATTGGCTGTTTTTGGAGCTCAGGGTAAACTGGAAGAACTTTCTGCAGCACATAGTTCAAACCAAAAATCATCAGAAAGCCAAATCTCAATTTCTAGTGAGAAATCTCTTTAGAGGAGCAGTTCTGACACTGTGATGAGAGTAGCCTTTGAAAAGTCTGAGAGCTACCTGACCTAGCTAAAACCTGGTTCTTGTTAAGTGGCTCTTCTTGCAGGTCGGCTTCCCAGGCTGGATCTTGGTGCAGTCATTCAGATGCTTGGACTAGCTCAGGAGAGATGATGGCACTGTCTTAGCAGAGGCAGTGAAGAAGGCAGGGAGAGTCCCTTTTGGTGGAAGACCAGTCTTAAAAACAGTCTTATAAACCTGAGTTTTGTATAATTGCATAAAGAAGCTTTCTGACTCAGCAAGTGGAGTGAGATGCCACAAAATCAATGTTCTAAAAGGACTCCTGTCTGCCTTAAGGGATAGTATGTGACTAAGGCTGATCTTTGAAGACTGTAGGTAGAATAGAGAAGTCTTTATTGTGGCAACCCTCCTGTTATTATCTAGTAATTTCTGTTTCTATGGTAAGAAACTGTCTCACCAGAAAATGGGCATCCATGTACTTGGGACTATTTTATACTTCTAAGACCAGTTGCAGTTTGCTGTCAGATTTCTTTTGCTCAGAACATTTTCCCCTGAACGGTGGTTCTGTGCATCTAATCCCAGAATGCAGTAGGCTCAGCTGGTTATCATTCAAAGCAACTCTAAAGTAATTCTGGGATGCACAGAAATAATGATTGGGTTTTCTTTTTTTCTGTGGTCTTTAACACTAACCTTGTTTAAGTGCTCCAGTTAACCCTGACAAAATATCTTGTGATTCAAATCCATATGTTAAGTTTCACATTAAATTTTGTTGCTTAATTTAAATCCTGCAACCCAAAACTTGGTTTAGTCAGAGTCTGATTAATTCTTGAGGAAACATCTTTCAGATGAAAAATCTGAAAGATTTGAAAGATTACATATTTATTTTGCAAGTGTCTCGGAGTATGTGTATGCACATGGAGGAGGAGGGCATCTTAAAGAAAAGTTGAGATTGTTAGGAGGATAGTAAGTAAATACCTTCAAAAATTTTACGGAAGCTACAGCATTGAAAAGAGGAACAGGCAGGAGCCCAGGGTCTGGAACAAAAGATCAATATCTTATTTTGAAGATAACTCTATAAAAATATTTCCTTCTATTAAATCAGTCTGACTTACTTGAAGCTTGGTAACTGAATGTTGCAGTAGGTGATCTAGATGCTGATGCACTGCAGTGCAAAGAGAGCAATGCTTCACCATCAGGAAGGACAGGTGAAGATGAATCAGGAAACTGTTGCATGACAGGACCCAGTTTGTGTGTTACAATGCTTGCACAGGGATAACTCAATGATCCCCAGTTCTGAAGCTGTGCTTCTTGATAGCTTGTGAATGAATAGCATCACTGTTTGGATGCTCCCTCAGCTGTAACCTGAGAGCAGATACGATTTGGTGGGCTTGGCTTTGGTTGATGTGGATTTCTGTAGGCTCTTTTCCCAGGCTCAGTTTACATATCTCACTTGATAGAGTGAGAAAGAGCTTCATTCTCCCAGTTTTAACTGCTCTGAGTTACTGCAGCAGTACTGTTTATGTTCTGTGTGCAGTACTGCTGCAACAACTCTTGCTTAGGGTGGTTCATACCCTCCCTTTCTTCCCTTTCCTCGTTCTTTTCATGGGGTTAAACACTGTTTTTTATGGGATTAAAAGATGCTTTATGTGCATTCCTTTTCCCACCTGTTATTGTATTTCCTGTTAAATGTTAGCTTCTGTTATTGGCAAACAATGTCAGTTCCTCCTGTTCATTCCTACTTGTTTTTAGGCAGTCTTCTTCATGCTCTCTTCTGTATTTCACTTGAAAAGCAGTGGAGCAACAGTTAATCCACTCCATTTTCTCACAATACCTTTACAAAAACTTATCACATGCACAAGTAACATGGTACTGGGTTTTCTAAATTCCACTGCATTTTTGACATGCATGGAAGGGATACCACGTGTGTCAGTCCCATATCCTGCTTGGCACTTCACAAACAATGAAGAGGATCCCTGCTGTGGTTGGACCTCTAATACTCAAGAAACAATCATGCAGACATCATTTTTAACTTCTGCTTTTCTCATCTGTTCATGTGGATTTAATACTCTTTTATTTTCTCAAGGAGACCGAGAGCATCTCAAATGCTATAACAAATTTCTGTGATGTGAAGTTGGATTCTTCTAACTGTACTTCAGACAATCACCCTTCTAACTCCCTAGGTAAAGTGGAAAACGGTTGTGTGTGGGGAAAAGCATAATTTGAATTAAGAAATATTAGTGGGTTACTGCCAATGGATAAAAAAAATCCCTATACTATACTGCAAAGTAAATATATATAGGTTTTTACCATGTTTTTGTCTTCCTCTGGAGAAAGCACAACTATATAAAAATATTTTGGTAGTTTCACTCCTTTTGGGGAGATGAGGGAGACTTAGTTTTGCAAGTATAATGTATAAACTGCTGAAAGTCTGTGATAAAGCGAGGCCACCAGCTTAGAACTTGGGCATATTCTTGTAACAGATGACTGCGGAGAAGTCTGGACATTTTTGGATAAAGCTGAAGTTATTCCTGTTTATCTGACTGTACAATACAGATGTATCTAAACCTTCTCCTTTAGCAGGCTATGTAGGTCCTTTTAGAGGATTCTATATACTGATTTAACATCTGTCAATGAGCTGATCTTTGAACTCTTCCTCTGTTTTGGGTTAGCAGAGAAGAACTTTGTTCCATTTGATGTTCATACGACTAATATGCACCAAAGAACACAAGCATCTGTGTGGATTTCCTTTTGTGAAATTTATAATGAATATGTGTACGACCTATTGAGTATTTTGTCTACATCAAAACCTCAAAGGCGCAGAGTCTTAAGAATTTGTGAGGATCAAGGAGGAAATTGTTACATTAAAGGTAATAATACTGTTTTATGACCTGGGCAGTTACACAGAATTTCTCTGATTATCAGAAATGTATGTAAAGGATCTCTTTTTGCAGATTTAAAGTGGATTCAGGTTCAGAGCACTGAAGAAGCCTGCAGACTACTAAAAATAGGAAACAAGAACCGAAGTTTTGCCTGCACCAGAATGAATGAGCAATCAAGTAGAAGGTTTGTTCCTGTAATTATCAGCATACTCTGTCCCTTTTGAGGGGAAGGGAGAGCACTTCAGAATGTGTGAAATGAACCACTCTTCAATAATAGTTTAATACTTCCCTTGATTATTCTGCATTTTTTTATGAAATTCTCTCTGAAAGAAAGCCAGGAGAGACTCTGTGACTAGTAGTAGCTGCACTCAGATTGCTATTCATGTCTTTGGGCAACCAAAAAAATCAAATCACGTTCATTTTTCAGTGCCAGCAGGGCTGTGCATCTTGGCAAATACTAGTGGTGCTGAGTGAGAATGGCTGTGTGAGGATGGTGCAGGAAAAGCTGGTTAATCTTTCATAACTGGCAGTATAATTCTTGGAAACCTGGAGCCTGTCACTGGGGGATATAGGAAGGATCAGGTTGTGTTGTATCTTGCAGTGCTGCTAGATTTTCTAGATGCTTTTGGATTGCTGTGTTCAAGCTGAGCTTACTTGGTGTCTTAAGAATTAAACCCCTACATTTTTATCCAGCTCTGGGCCGGGATCAGGGAGAATCTGGCTTTTGATGGAGTGAGAAGAAATAGAGAAGGTTATATAATGTCTATTGAAAGTGCCTCCTTTCTTGATTTTAATGACCTCTTAATAATTTGCCCTTTAAGTGTGAAAGGGCCATGTTTTATTTTTAGCTAATACAATCATAGTGTTTACTAAGCCTGCTTTTTTTCTGTAAAAAGCAAGAGTTATGTTCTGTATTAGCTAAAGATAGCTGCTGTTAAATTGCATGCTCTTCTTACAGAGTTTTATGCCTAGAATGCCCACTGCTTAAGGAATATACTAAAGAATTTTGTGTGCTGTTCTTCCTGATGAATCAGAGAAACTGGGCACTTCTGGTTTTGTGACTTTTCTCTTTGGTTTCAGACATGCTTACTGCCTGTGTAGATTGTTGTCTAAACCAGAGTTACAAACTCAACCTTTCTGGAAAACAGAATTAGTTTAAAACCAAACAAGTAACTGTGCATATTGAAGTGGGCAAAACTACAGGACTGTAAAACTAGAACTTATTCTCTTCTCCCCATCATTTGTTTCTAAGTTAATCCTTCAGATTTGCCGAGTTCAGATACTGCCAAAGGTTTTCTATATGAAGTTGCTACATGACTACTCTTCTTTTGATCAGTGAACTGGCTTGGTGTTTTTCTCCAAGACAGGTTGTAGGCTTCACATGGTATTTTTCCTTTTCCTGTGTGAAAAGAAAGTCATAAAATGAAGCTTTTTTTTTTTTTGCTGCTGAATGAATGCATTGCAAAAGTAATATACCAAGATAACTAGTGAGTTAATTCTTGTCCTGTCTTTACCACTGAGCTTTCTGTAGCATACAAATTTTACTTTGCTTCAGTGACTGCTTAATTTTCATAACTGATTATTAAAAAGAACTTCTTTCCATTTCAGTCACAGTATATTTTCCATCAGGCTACTTAAGCTAACTGATGAGCATCAGCCACGTGTTCTTGGAGTATCAGAGTAAGTGAAAGCTTCATGTGATTACCAAGAATATAAATATTTTGGAAAAATTATTAAGGTGTAAGCATGCCAAACTGCTGAACTTTCTAAAAATAAATAAATTCTCAGAGCTGGGAGGGAAATCAGAGCTCTACTGAGCACATAAACTGACTGGAAGCTCAACAGGGACAAGCACAGAAGTGTTTTCCTGTCTCTTACTCTAAGGTTTTGCTGGAGCAGCTCTGTCAGTAGTGTGCAAATTGAGGAAAATGTGTATTTTCTCACATAATGGGGAGGTGGTGGCAGAGTAAGACTATGCAGCAGCAGACTATATGTCCTGGTAAGCAGGATTCAAGTGTCTGGCTGGTAGAGGGTGATCTCTGCAGCTGGAGGGCAGCAGTTGGTGCTGAAAGCCCCAGGGCTGGCATTGCCTATGCCAATCTATCTTTCTGCTTTGGGACCAGACTAGTCTTCATGGGTCAAATGTGGCAACACATTAGGTGTGCTCCTAGAATGCAAATTAAAATCTATCATCCCAAAAGAATTCTGGTGACATGATCTCAGACTGTTCCATGGTCCAATGTACAGTAGGAGGGGGCCATCAAATGATTTGCTTAAAAACTCTTCTCCATTAACGTAAAATGCTGATGTTAAGTGCACCCTGTGAGAGCAGTGTTCAGTCCTTACACTTAAGTCTCTGCTCTTTTATTGTTTAAAGGAAGCAGCCTAATTTTCTGGCCTGAAGCCATTTAGATAGCTTTTCTTGGGAAAGTGTGTCTTTTTGTCTTCTGATTAATTTAGTTTGGCACAGAAAAATGAAGACAGCCTGTAACACAATGTTTTAGTTCAGTCCTAGCTTCCGCTGATTTCTCTCTTGTCTCTGCTGAGCAGGGATGGTAATAAATATACCTCACTGTGAGATAACACCTTTAAATGTCAGATCTTACTGTGATAAATACTCTCAAGAAAAGATAACTTGAGAAAATGCCTGCATCTGTATATTTTTTGCTGTTCTCTATCATAGTATATCCCCCTGGCAAAACTTGCAGCAGCTGTTAGGTGAATGACAGAGTTGGTATTTTAAGGAAGAAAAAAGCTTTTAATCTTGTGCTGGAAAGGATAAAGAACATAAGGCTTTCATACACTTGAAATATGTGCCTTAATTTGTATAGGACTTACTTTAGCTGTATGAAAGTTTATGGTCTTACAAATTATTTTATTTAAATAAATTTATGTGTAAGTGAGTAATGGTATGGTCACATAAATTATCCAACTTCCAGAGCTTCCTGTATTTCAACAGCTTTCCTAATATAAAGTAAAATTTGTGGAATTCCTTGATTATTCAGGATGATTTTCTGATTGTACCCTTCTTGTGCCATGAGGGACAATTCAGTGGCCTGAGTTTAGCAGCAGATAATTGCTGTAGCCAAGCAAAGAGCTCTGAGGTGAGCTGGGAAGGACTTCATGTGTGTGTTCTGGATAACTCTTCCATGCAGGTTGTCGTTCTGTGACTTGGCTGGTTCAGAGAGGTGCAATAAAACACATGTCTTTGGAGAGAGACTAAAAGAAGCAGGAAATATTAATAATACTCTTCACATCCTTGGAAAGTGCATTGCAGCACTGAAGCAAAATCAAAACCCAAAGTAAGTGACAAGTTATTTACATGCCAAGTTTCAGGTGGAAACACTAAATATCCCTTTACATTTCTGCAAGTAGTTTGCACAGAGAAAATTAGAAATCTACAAAATCTTTTAAGTCTTCTTTATTATAGATGTCACTGTATTACCTGCAGAGTTCTCCTTAACTGGTTTTTGTGTAGAGCAAAAAAAGGCAATTTGCAGCAAACTGCCAACATTATTTTAGTGTGTGTATATGAACAATACACTTTGTACGCAAAGCTTCAGTTTTGTCATCTTCACTTCCACCTGCAAATTATACAAGTAGATTCATTGGCAGCTGATAGTGGAACAAGCCAAAAGCTAACTACAGGTCATATATCTACCTTGGAACACTAGGAAACTGTGATGCATACAACATGCTACTTTTAAATAGTTCAGTTTATTGGAGAGCCTATGAAATCCAGGAAAGATCTTGCTCTTTGATGTAAAATCACTTCGGCTTAAAATACGAGCATCCTACTGGGTGTCTTTCCTGAAAGAGAGAAACAGAATTAAGGTGAGCTACAATAGCCCACAATTTTAAAATTTTTATTTTTTTTCACAAGTTTATTTTTTTCCCTCCCTGAGGATGAAGCCAATCTATATTCCATTCAGAGAGAGTAAGCTGACTCGTCTGTTTCAGCCATTTTTTTGTGGGAAAGGCAAAGTTTGTATGATTGTAAACATCAATCAGCATACTTCCACATATGATGAAACACTGCATGTAATGAAATTTTCAGCTATAGCCAGACAGGTAAGAGTATATCTACTTTCTCTGCTATTCTGCTTTTTTTTTTTTATTTGTTTTTGGTAGTAGTGATTTTTGAAATGATCAGGTTGTATGAATTTTAGTGTGATTTGGATTCTTGGTTCTTCATATTAGTTCTTCTTCATGTGTCTCTCTCTAAAAGGCTTCTAGCAGTCTTTCCCATCTTCAAACCTATTTGTGGTAAGAAGTTAAGACAACTGCAGGTGTCTGACTGTTCAGTTCTACACCACTGATGTTCTGTGTAAAACACAGGGCACTTTCAGATATGACTGATTTATACCATATATCTGAGCAAATGCAGGATTTCAATTCAAACTCTTGATGAATTACTTAACCTGGGTGCAGTTAAAGATCTGTTGCACAAGATGAGTTGTTCACAACTTCTTGGACAGTTGTTGGTGGTAAAAGGAGTATCATCTTCTTCTGTAGCCTAAATGACATATTTTGCAACTGCATTGCTCCTATTTGGTTAAATGCAAGTGATTAATAATGAAGTGTCTTGGCAAGCTTTTTCTCCATCTCCTTCAGTACCCTTGGGTGGATCCCATCCAGCCTCATAGACCTGTGTGTGTCTACATGCTCTAGCAGGTCAATGACCATTTCCTCCTGGAATATGGGGGCCTCATTCTGCTCCCTGTCTCAATCTCCCATTAAATTCAGGACTTGGGGTTGATGTTTGGCCTTAACCTCATCCAAGTTCCCTGAAGCTGCTTCTTGCAGGGAGTGGGATGATGGGCTGTGCTGTGTTTCATGGCAGAAATTCAGTAATTTTTTAGTCTGGAGCTGCAGATTATTTCTGTCATGTTATTACAAATCTGTAATAGCATGTCTAATATGATCTCAGAGGAAGATTTTTCTAATTCTTTTCAGGTGTGACTTTTGTTATAAGAGTGTACTGTGGAGACAAACTTCTCTGACATGCTGTCCTATGACATAGTTACTTAAAATCTCTATGTAAATAAAATGAATTTCTGAATCCTCATCTTGTTGTTTCAGGAAGGAGCAAGTGTTGTAGGGATTTTCTGCTTTTCATTAACTTTGCAGGAAACTACACCAAAACCCTTATATTTTAAGGGAAGAGAAACTACCTGTCTAGACAAGTATGCTAAGTTTGTTAGCAGATAATATTTCCATTTTCACTCTTTTTAGAGTACTTGAGTCTTATGTTCCTGTAAGAATTATGTTACATTGATGGATTCTCTTTTTTTCTGCTAAAAGGCATGCAAGCTTTTGTTGACATTCATGTAATCATTAAATATTGTGTAAATACAACAATGCATTCATGCTGCTTCTTCCTGGTATCCTGATACCTACAATATCGACAGCACTGGTAAATCATCTCTGGATTTTTCAGGTTATCCAGAAAATCCTGCCCAAAAATTTTGGTTATTTTCCACCAAAGCTAGTTGTAGGTGATGGCAAACCTATGATGCACTTTGATGCTAACACATCTGTAGATGACTTTGCTGACAGTGCTGAAACCTCTGCAGAAGAGGAAGTGGACATCACCATTCTGAGTCATGAGGTAAATACATGTCTACTCAGAACTGCACCCAAGAAAGCCATCCTGTTAGTTCTAATATTGTTTTAGCATAAGACATGTGCTGAAAGCTGCATCAAATGGGAAGTTTAAGTTTCTCTTCAGTGTCAGACTGACTAGACTTAGAGTGGCCTAGTTCACTGTAGCTGTGGAAGGATGCCCTGTGGCTTTCTAGTTAGGTCAAGTGCTAAATTTGGAATTCAGCTGATTGCCCAACAAGAAGACTAAGGAATCAGTACATATCTTTAAAATAACATAATTTAGTTTTTTGTACCTTTTTCTTTTTTTCAGTAACAGCAGTAACTAGTTAAGACACAGCATTTTAAAAACAAAGCTATACAATCTAATAGCAATAAACTGTAAAAATCAAGTAGGTTTTATGTTGTTATGCTGTACAAACAAATATTTAAATGACATAACGGAAGTGAACTTTTTCATAGTGGACACTATCAAGATGAACACAGGATGTATTTGCAGTAGAAATTTATATTTGAAAATATTTAAACTTTGGCACAGACCCCCAAAAAAACATAAGTTTATAAAAAGTACCCTCTGTGGATGTCTGCCTGTATGAATATTTTGTTTGAGATGCATGTCAATAAGTGTTTCAGTCTTGGTTTTTGAACTGAAATACTTTCAATTTAGGACCTCTTGAAAGCTGCAGAGGACTTAAAGGAGAAGGTAGCTGCAGAAAGGCGAAGCAAGCTCCTTCTGGAGGTGAAGATACGCAAAGAGATGGCAGAAGCAATGTTTCGACAGCTGCTGGAAACTGAGGAAGCCTGGAGGCAAGTCACATTGCAGTCTGCTTTGGGACTGAAAGGGTTCCACATGTATAAATGCACACATGTGGTGTAAGTGCATACATGTGTATATTCAGGACATATCTACTCATGTTATTTAGAGAAGACAGGGCTGGACAATTTCAAAACCTCTGAAGGAAAGGGAAGAAAAAACATTAAACTTGTTCAGATCAGCCTCTTCCCATTTACAGTGAAAAAGTAATGCTGCTTTCTGTTCAACTTTCCTCTGTTGAATTTGCAATTACTGAAGCTTGTCCTGGCTTGTTATTACTACTTAGGAGATGTGGAAAATTGTTACAGGTACCCCACTGAGGCTATTTTTCCAAAAACATGACTGTCATGTTAATATGCATGCATGTGCTTAAGGTAGTTTGAATCATCTCTTTTGAGCTCCTCTGCATGACTTATGAGCCACTGTTAGTTTACTATCTTATGAGTTACTGTGCCCTTATGAATTATCTTATGAATTATGAACCCTGCACTGATGTTAATTTAGGAATTTTTTTTTCTTAAGTCCAGATTCCTCAAGTTGAGTTCACTTCCTCTTAACTCTTCTTTAAATCAGTTTCCTGCTGTTTGAATTGTTTAAAAAATTAATACCAAGTTGCCAGCTGAGCACACTATGGTTTAACCCCCGCACTAGCTTTAAAATTGTTAGGTTGCCTTTGGCCAAACACATGAATTAGCATTGATGTTTTTTCTCAGATGAGGTGATTTTCTGCATCATTGATGGGGCACGTTTTTAAATTTTGACAGAAATATGGAAAGTATTGAAATAATAGATGGGGAGGAACTTCTCACAAGAGTATGTAGTGACAGGACAAGGGGGACTGGATTCAAACTGTGGGAGTTGGTTGAGCTTGGTTGCTAGGAAAAAATTCTGTACTGTGGTTGTGATGAGGCACTGGAACAGGTTGTCTAGAGAAGTTGTGGATGCCCCATTCCAGGAAGTGTTTGAAGGACATGTTGGAAAGGTCTAGTGAAAAGTGTCCCTCCCCATGATAGGGATGAGAGAATTAGATGATCTTTAATGTCCCTACCAACTCAGGCCACTTTATGATTCTATGAAAATTAATTTGGCATTTATCTTGAATGGAAAAAACTAATACCCAAAGTGAAAGATGGTCCCAGGATGCATGTTTCAAATATAACTTCTAAATGGGTGTGGTCACTTCTGTTGTTGTATGTTGGTGGGTTTTCTTAATTTCTGTAATTTTTTTTTGGACAGGTGTTAAGTGTGTGTTCTTCTATAGCATTTCTTTGGTATATACCAAGTAGAAGTTATATTTTGGTGCAAGTCTGTAGGATCATTGAGATTAAAAGGAAAGAAGTACTTGTCTTTTTGTTTCACTATTTCTGATTAGAGAAATGACTTGAATACGCTCAGTTGAATACATGTAGTCACATGTACTAGCTGGAATGCAAACACATTGTTCATAACGAACATGTTCTCTTCAGCAACCGCTTGGAAGATATGAAAGACAGCTATGAAGAAAAACTCGAGAGCAAATTTGAAATGTATAAAGAGGCCATTAAGAAACATGCATATATGTGTGCAATGGAACAAATTGAAGAGAATTATGTTCCCATAGAAGAATTTCTAGCTGAACAAGAGAAAGTTGAGGTATGGCTTGACTGCCATTAAAGTATGCTCTAGCCTCTTAACTGTAAATTTTGCTTTTCTTTAACAGAATCACTCTGGGATTTTGGGTATAACACTAAACAAGGAAAATAACTCGCAGTTCAGCCTTGCTGTTCTGTGTTCAATGCTCACCATAAGCATACAGATGTCTTCTCTCTGGCACCACCTGTAGTGCACACCTAAACATTTTGATTTTTGAGGGCACAGTTCAGTTAAATCCAAGTAGTCTTTATCTTTGTGGCGCAATGGCTGGAACACCCAGGGAAATGATGTATACAGGAGTCCGGCTTTCTAGAGATCTTTGGGATCATAGGATGTAGATTAAAATGCTGCTCTGAAAGGGTGATGGGGAATTTGTTACAGGATAGCTATTTTAATTATATCTAATCTCTGGTCTGGAGGTGGTGGGAGCATTGTGGGATAAGAAACTCATGAGAAATCCAACTTCATGCAGGAGAGAACTGAATCTCCTGAATGTACTTAAACGCAGAATTGCTCAGAGTTGGCATTAGTAAGTTGCTACTCCTTTTGCAATGCAGCCAGGTTAGCTATGAGCAACTCAGTTTTCTGAGCTCTGCATAGATGGTTAAGTGCATCCAGGCAGCAGATGAGCCCTGTGGGTCTTGTTGTTTTCAGAAGGTTTTTAGTGGAAGAATAGAACAGCTGTGGTGTCCACCAGAGGAGCTTTCTCACTGCAGTCTCCTGTTCTGGAACTGATAAGCCATCACACTCTATGGATAGGCAGGTTCCTTTCAAGATATAAGTGGGTTTCTCCTGTAGATTGTGATATATAAATATTTCTGCTTTTACAGCTCTCCATTTGGGTGCTGACAGGCAACACCATATTATGTAATAGCCTGTGTTTTTCCATCTCCTTCAAATTTGTCTCTTTTCCTCATTTGGACTCTTTTTCTGTGTTCAATTAAATCCTAGCTATAGACTATATTAGAGTGGACAGAAAGAGTTTTCATAGTGCTCTTATACTGGCCAAGAGGCTGCATAAGGGAAGAATCAAAGAGCAAGATACTTTGGGTAGCAAGTCAGAGAAGAAATTATTGAAATTCCTGAGATGTAGAAGGGTTAGTTGACAAAGGGAGACAACAGCATTAATCTGGGTGGGCTGCTTCAGAGAACCAGAATTAGATGAATAACTTTTCTTGATGATGCCACTTGTTTGATTTCTCACTCTGAAATACCATGCCAGCAATCTGACAGATACTGGGAAAGAGTTTGAGATTAAAATGTAGCTCTGTGAAGTTAGTTTTTCCTTAGTTAGCAAGGTAACTTGCAACAATGTTTAGCACATACATGCTAAAGTTTCCTTTTTGCCATATGGTTACTTTTAATAGAGTTTGGAAATGCTCAGACTGGAAGAGCTGACTCATTTGCAACTTCTTCCTAGATGTTTTTGTGACCTGAGTGTTATCCCTTTCTGTGATTTCCTAAGCATAACCTGTGAAATAATTTAAAATTACACGTGTGTGTGGTGTAATTGAAGGATGTGCACTAATGCATCAGATCAAGCAGAAATGCAGACAAATTCTACCATATGCCCTTATTTTTTCAGGATAGAGAGAAGAAAATACTGCAATTGGAAAGGCAGCTTGATGAACAGTCAGGGAGGCTGTTGGCTCTGGGAAGTCTGAGCTCGGATGTTCCGACTACTGAAAATAACATGGAACGAGGTAGGAATGTCATCTGGGTATCCAAAGTTCAGTTTACTCCTGGTAATGTATATAAACAAACAAACTCTTCTTTTGCCTATAGATCTTATGGACAGCACATTGAAGAGAGCCAATGAAGGATTGCAGAAACAATGTGAAGAGAAGGAAGAGGTAGCTCTTGCTTAGTATTTGTCTGGGGATAATGGTTGTAAACCCTATCATGGTTCGATGCCTAAAGATGTGCATTGCAGACAAAAACCATGGAGATTCCTGCAAATGGGCATTGAGCTTATTTAAAAAAAAAAAAAAATACCCTTGCTCAATTGTGGATGACTTCTGCCAGAGACTGTTCTGTCATTATTCTGGCCTGTAAAACCATTTGCTACTGTAACAAGTCATGGTGAATGCCGAAGGAAGGAAGTATGTTTAGCTTTGGGCTGGAATTTATTGTAAATATTGCTGCCATGACCTCAGAGCTTTCCTTCCTGAAATGCTGCCTGCTTCTGCATAGGGAACAGTTATAGAACCTGGTAATACTTTAGATTTTAGAGCTAAAATCAAAATAGTGCCTTAAAGCAGTCCTTTCTGGAAGTACTCAATTCCACTATCACCCTAAACTTAAGTAAAGGTGAATATGTCTGTTCTTCAAACAAGATCTCTGTGCTCTGAGTACCATATAGAGGTGGGAATTATGGAAAACAATAATTTTAAAGTATGTATTTTTATTCTTCCTTGAGTGATCTTCTTGTAAAGATACAGTTAATTTCCCATGTTTAAAGAGGATGTGGGGAAAAGGGAAGACATGAGTCTTGCTTCTTTCTCTAATAGCAAATATGAGTAGGGATTGGAGCAATAGTTCCAGCTGGTTCTTATTTGCCATGTAAATGGAAAGTGAACTTAAATATCTTTCTATTGAGAAAGAATAGTCCAAAAAATAACTTTTTTCCTTACCAAGTTTAATGTCTCGTGCTATGGCTGTAGGATTTGTTTTCCACTGTTTTTTAGAGCTCTACATCATTTTCCCATGTCACTTTCAAATTTTGGTGAAAGTTTGGCTTTTATGCTTGTTATGAGGATAGAGTTATTGGTTGGTTTGTGTGGCTAGAAAGTGTTAGAATGATGAGATTGGTTTAAACCAGTCTCACTTCATTTATTGCCAGGAATCATTCTCAGTTCATTCCATCAGTGCCTTTCTGCTGCTTTGCCTAAGATCAGTGCATGTGTGACTTGTAATTCACCACTTTTTTCTTCCCATTCAGCCGTTAAACATGAGCTAAGGGTGTGAGTTTTTTAGCAATTGTGTAGAAGCAAATTAACAGTAACATCTATTTTTCTACTTAAGAATTTTTTGCCTCTTGGGGTTTAGGATTAATCCATTAATTTTCCCATCTGAAAGGTGAGGTCTTCTGTGGTAACTTCTCTCCAATGTGAATAGTATTAATGAGACAAAAGTGTTCTTTGAACTACTCTTACTGAAATGGAGCAGGCTGTTCCAGATGTAGCTTGATCTGTGCTACTGTTTATTGATTGGCAGGTCTGTAAATCACAGCAGCTTCAACACAGCAGCCTTTGAATGCTCCAACTGCATTTTATCACCTGAAATGATGAGCTGGGACAGAGGAGGTTGGGAGAAGCAGACTTTCTTGTTTTGATCTTGCAGTTTGGACTGTTCTAGTCATAAACAAAATTAACGTAAAACATGCTGTTCTGAACTTCCATGTGTATGGGCTTTATTTTCAGCTTATAAAATCTCTGAAGTTTAAAATACAGAAACTAAATGAAGCCCTGCTAGAAGCTAATGAAGGCTACAGAAAAATGGCAGAAGAAAACAGTCAACTGAAGCACACAATCATGCTCAAGGTTAGTCAATGATTTAAAAACAACTTAAATATGGCTTGTATCTATAGGTGTACTGGCTGCTTCTGCATCTTTTTACATGTAAAACCACTGTTAAATTAGCATTTGTTTTGATGTTAGCATTTTTTCTGTGCCTAACTTCCTGAACTATGAGCTCAGAGCCCTTGTGTTTCACTACTTGACTCTGAATTTTGTAAGACAAAACTCATTTTTCAACTTAAGTGATAGACTCTGTCAATGGGGTAACTCTGCTGACAAAGCCTGCTAATCTAAAGATGTCATGAATTCTTGTCAAGCAAAGAAAATACTGCTTAGAACTCATCATGAGCCATGTTGCTGAGGCAAGCAAGGCCAGTGCACAAATGCTACTGCAACAAGGCCTAAGGATCTTTGGCTTTAAAGCTATACTGATGGTGCTGCCAGAAGTGGCCAAACTGGATGAAGATATGGGCAGATAAAATGTTTAACACAGAAATAGACATCTTCCTTCAAAAGCAGGGACCTCCTAAAGTTTACTGCATCTACCCTCAGATATCAACTAGATTCCTAAACAAAAAAATGAAACTTTTCAACTCTTGGCATTTTGGATCTACGCCTCACTTGTAAGGTATAATAACTCACTCTGCAGGTATAATAACTGCTTAGTGATGTCTTTCTTTGAACATTAGATTATTTTCTGCATACTTTTTAGTTTAAATCTGAGACTGAAAATTATTTGACTTGAACTTTTTAATTGGAAGTTACCTTCCTATCCCTCATTAATAGGAAGGTGATTTTGTTAACCACAGAGATTAAAGAGTGTATTTAACACTGTATTCTGCCCATGCAAAGGATTTACTCATCCTGGTTAGCACACTTATGCTACGAGAGTTTTGATTTGGCCAGTTTTGCTTTCAGAAATTGCAAGGCAGGAAAGCCACCTTTATCTGGCTCCTAGAACATCATCAATTCTTTGCACAGTGTGGCAGAGCATTTCAGCATCAGCTTCTTAGGGACTTGGTCTCTAACTAGATTGGATGGCTCTGTAGTTTGCTGGGTTTTTAATTACTTTGATGTAATTTAGAGGAAATGGGTAGTGAATGGCCATATGGCATAGTAATAACAAGGGTGTTTATGGGTTTAATAAAATAATGTGAACCAGAAAATTAACTGCATGAAAGAGACCATGCAGCGGTCCCATAGTTTACACAGCCTTATCCTCATAGGATCAGGAAATGAATAGTCTTCAGAACTGGGCTAAACGTGTTCTTGAGCTTGAAGAAACAGTGTCTTCCTTGCAAAAAGAGCTTGAAGAACAGAAAAAGAATTTCTTTTCAGAGGAGTTAAAACAGCAGAAATCCAGGAGAGGTTTGCTGGCTAACCTGAAATCCACAGTAGCATCCACTGCTAGTACACCTCTTGGTAAAGGCTGGGGGAAGTATGAAGAGGCTTCACCCTATTCAAGAAAACAAGAACTGTTGCCACATAAAGCAAAATAATAATATTTGAGAAACCAAAGTGTGCAATTACTGGGCTTCTTCATTAGCTACCAAACTGTTGGTAGCCCTTTCTTACTCTTAAATGCCATCTTCACTGTCCATCTTCATGTTGACTGAGAAAAATGTTTAATACAGAACTTCTTAAATTGAATCAGGGTTGAATTTAGAGCTATAAAAGTTTGAGTCTAGACATGTGCTTTTACTGTTGATATAGGGATGTGATTTGAGAAATATATGTATATTTTAATTCTGGAGTAACTGCTATCATGGTCTTCTGTACTGATAAATGTGTGGTTCATGCAAAGTGGAATGTCCCTCATCTGCTGTTCGTTATGTTTATAAGTTATTTTATATCATTGTTGATTCCTAGAAATCACATGGCTTGTAAACTTAATCCTAAGTAGTTAAAATAGCATGGTTCTTCAGTTAATCTGGTTTTGACCTGGTGACTCCCTTCTTGGGACCAAACTAAGCAAGCTGCTAAAGAAGGTGATGAAATGAAATCTGATCTGGCTCCTTGCTATTTTTCAGCGAACTTGGCTTTGTAAAGAAATTTGTTTTAATAAAATTTGAATTTCCACTAGGAATATGTATTAAGTTTTGAAACATGTATTTAATAAAGTTTTCCATTGCTAAATTCAGCTGACTCTTCATTTTATCAATTGGCAAAACCAAGATAAGAAAAGATCATGAAATTAGAGCCCAAATAATGACAGTGATTTGTATAGGATGATCTTGATTTGAAAGAATCATATCTTTGATTATATTACTTACTTTTTATCTAGTAGCTTAAGGATGGAAGACTGGAGCATGATAAAATTTGAAGCAGTTTTCCTAGAGCCCTTTCCAGTCAGTGAAGGTGAGGGGATTTTTAACTACTGTGGAAGTACAATGCCTGTAATTGCTGGAGGCTTGCTGTGGAATCTCTAAGTAAATTGGATTGATCAGTGCCTGGAAGGGAGTTTCTCACAGTGGAAGGGACAGAGTTCAAAGCAAGAACCTCACCCTCCCAGGGGAGACAGTAGGTGGTGCAGCCTTCCCGTGTGACAGGAGGACAGCCCTGCTCTGCTGTGACTCCTCTTGCCTGGCTGCTGAGAGTTTTGGGTTGGTCTGTGATCAGTAATCACTCTGACATCTGTTTAATGAGGCTGTAGAGGCTGTACTCCAGCCACTGCTTGTCTCATGTTTTGAACTGTTTCTGTTAAATACAGGGTTATCTGGTTTTAGTAGTTCTGAAGGTCTATAATCCCTGCAAGGTAGAATTTCTAAAATATTTGTCTACTCCCACATAAACTATTCCAGCTATTAAAAAATATTTTGGTGTAGTTATATGAGACACTGAATGTTGATCTCTTGAATAAGAGAGCTGTTATGTACAAATTGCTTTAGGAAAAGCAATTAAAACAGAAGTTAAAAAAATGATCAGAACAGGCTAATACTGGAAAATTTCCATAATACCATTTCAAACTACCTCATGCTACACCTTGGCAGCCTGTCTAGCAATTTTATGTAACACTAACTGTAACCTCCTACTCCCTGAGCAACTGCTCTTTCTATGTTCCCTCTTACTTCCCAGAGCTCTTTGGTTGGCTACAGGAAATAGTTTGAAAGAAAAAGTTACATTACCTTGAGCTTTTTTTTTCTTTTTTTTTAGTCTTAAAATAAAATGAAGCCTGTAGTGAACTACTGGCCTGTGCTGAACTGTGAAAGTTTTCCCGAAAGTTGTGAAACTTTTGCACAGTGTAGCTATTATGTTAAAGGCTTTTGAGAAGCTGTTTTCAAGAATAGTTGTGGGTTGGTTCTTCTCTTCAAGCCCTCCAGGATAATAAGAAACCACAAGAAGGATGCAAAAATGGTGGGTTTGGTCTTTTTCAGTTTCTCAAAGGTGTAAGGAGAGCAGAGTCCATTAATCTTGGTAGTGGTGATAATCAGAGATTGCCCTGTTCCACATGAAGCTACCACTGGATAGAACATCAGCCATCTGTTTTATCTCAAATCACTACCATACTACTAGCTTCAGATTAAGTGTTTATTAAAATTAAAAATCACCATACAATAGAAACTATTTACATATTTAACTGATAGTCTGTTTAAACTGCACAGTTGGACTGAAGGAAGCCCCTGGAAAATAAAAGCCATGAATACTTCTGCTGCTGAGCTTCAACTGCAGGCACACTGAAGCTTTCTCAGAAAAGTTTTAAGCTTCTGCAAAGTACCATTTGCCTAAATAATTGGGCTGAAGGATGGCAAAGATGTGTACTGGGTTTCAGTTTTAAGAACCAGTGTCACTTTGAAAAAGAAGTAATCTATGCTGGGCTGTGCTTACATTGCAAGTGCACTAGCTCATCTCTTTGGATAAGTAATTTGATAGAACAATTCAATGTAGAGAGCACAGCAACTTGCCTTTTAAGAATCAGATTTGTAATACTAAGCAACAAATGACAGTGTCACTGCAATATAACTTGATATCTTATTGCATGTTTCCACAAATTGTTTTTGATAGTGCTAGAGCTAGTTTTAGCTTTCAAACAGATTTGAGGTTAGTTGATTAAAGCAGCAAAAATATAAGGAATATTCTTGAATAACCACAGAGGATTAAAAATGAAGATTAAAATATTTTCACTGGTAACATTTTCAGCGACTGCAATGAAGGTATTAACTTCCTTCAAAGTCCTGTGCTTTTCCATGGACTTCAAACAATGACTTTGGCCTTGTGGGAAGCTGAAGCTTGAACAGAGAGTGAGGTGTGCTGCCGTGTCTGCAGTCACGTGTGTTCGTCTTGCACTTCTGCATTTGATGGTTCCATAATGCTTTGAAAAGATTTTAAATTTAGGGAACATTTTTCAGGGTAAAGAATTGCACACATTACATAACTCTTCCTCCAAGGAAACCTTCACATTGTTTAGAAAGTCTTACAAGAGGTGATAGTATGCCTGATACTAATGTGAAATAACAAGCATAGAAAAAATAATTTTTGCAATATGCTGTATTCCAAAAAAGATGATTTAAGAACATCACCATGTCTTAAATCTGTAAGTTCTCCTTTGTGACTTTTTGTTTTGAAAATAGCTGTTCATGCATCCTCCCAACCCTTTTATCAAGGTCTCCTTGTAACACAGTGCATGACTTAGATCCTAAGAAGGTCTTGTCAAACTGTACCAGGGCATGATTGCTTTCCTTCTTTTGCCCTCTCCACCCCAAAAAGCCTGCTTGCTTTGGGGTGTATCTACAGATGCAAACCACAGAGCCTTTAAGGAGAACTTGAAGCTTTAGAGGAACTGTTTCAACTAAATAAAACCATTATTTCTCTGCAGAATTATTCTTCAGCATTTCAGCTTCCACACTCAGTTAAGACATCTGAATGCGTGAAGTAACTGGTTTGAGCAGTCTCTTCTAAAGACAGTCTGTGCCAATGATCTGTGGCAATAGAAAAAGTGTTCTTTGCTCTATGGCTGTTGTTGATACTGCCCTTCTGTTGCTGTGTAGAAGTCATCAAGCACACTCTGTAGGTAATCAAAGGTTGGCCTCTCTTCTGCTTTGTCTTTCCAGCATGTTTTCATGATATCATAAAGCTCAGCTGGGCAGGTTTCCATGCGTGGCATTCGGTACCCACGCTGAAGAGCAACCATCACATCAGAATTGCTCATACCTTCGAAAAAAAAAAAAAAAAGATTTCATGAAATTATCTCCATTCCTAGAGAAGTTCAGAGAAGTTTTTTTTTCTTTTTTTTACTTCACTCCAAAGATCTCCCACTAGTATAACACCTTTGCTACTTATTAAAGGTAGCTCCTAGCATGAGTTCAATAAACAAGGTCAAGGTGTGCACCAAGCAATGAGGGACTTGCTCTGAAAATCCTGGTGGGAACATTTCCATTTCTGCAGCTGAGCACCACAACCTCCTTAGTGCCAAGTCTAACAAGACTGTGGGAAAAATCACAATTCTTGTCTCCAGAACCATCTCTGTTCTGTTCTCCTGACCAGTCCTGTTCTCATTTACTCTGCTTCCCATGGTGGTGTGATTCCCAGCAAAAGCCTGCCCTGGCACCAGCCTTCATCTCTAGCTGCAGAGCTGCTGCTCTGCTTGCTGGAGACCCATCCATCCTGAGATGGAGAGCAGCCTCCCTGTTTGACCACACTGCCAGTCAGCCTGCCCAAAACTTTCAGGATTTCTTCTACATCAGCTTTTGTGTAAATGCTGCTGATTGCAAGATACTGGACAGTCACTCATGAAATCATTAATTGTAATAGGCAATTTCCCCTCTTGTCCTACTCCTGTTATGCAAAACCATCTTGCCAGCTGTGCTAAGCTTTGCATTTTTCCCTGCTATGGTTTTCTTCCAGAGGACAAGAACTGTAAGTACCAGCGATACATCCTGTGTCCCACATGCCAGCTAATGTCACATGAGAGAGTCCTGCCCTAGACTCCATCCTTCTCCCCCTTTTTTAAATTTCCTGTCACCCTTCCCCCCTTATCAAACTCTTGAGAAACTGGTTCACAGAACAATTTCAACACCTACTCTCAGAAAGTCAGCTATGCTAGGGCCAGCTTTTGCTATTTTAGGCTCACCACTTCCTACCCAGAAACCTGTCTTTGGGCTTGTCCCTTCCTCTGCAAATCTAATCATCCCAGTGGTTGCATTACCTTCTCTGGCACAGACTCTTTTCTGTACTCAGTGACTGCTGTTTGTTCTGATGGGTGGGCATGCAGGAAGCACCTGTGCTTCAGCCTAGAGATTTATGCTCACCAGAGAAGGCTTTTCCTTTTGAAAAGGGTATCCCAGACCTCTCAGCCACTGGCCACAAATGAGGATAAATGCTCCATGTGGCGCAGTTCTGCCCAAGACTACAGTTCCTCCAGGTTTTCTCAGGCCGTTCAGCCTCTGGTCAGGTCCATGAGGGACAGTCTCCGGCACACACCAGCTCCCCAGAGGTGCAGGGAGAGCAGCTCTGCTCAGCTGAGAGGAGGGGAGATGGGTCCTGCTCTGAGCAGGGTCAAGAGTGGAGATGCAGATGTGGTGTTCCCCTGAATCCTTGCTGCAGCTCTGCAGACCTCTGCACATATTATCTGACTGCTGTGGCTGTGGGTTGAGCCACTTGGCAGGTGAGGACACATTTGAATTACAACCAAATGACAGCTTTATCCAGTATAACTACTTGGATTATTCAAGATGACCATAGTTCATATAGTTGACTTCAGCTCAAGCTTGTTGGCTTCAAGCTTTTCCAAAAATACCCTCAGCCATGTAATCTGAGTCTGGATCAAAGTTCTTACTTTGGGCACATCTTTTGTATTTTCAGTTCCTCTGTGGAAGGAGAAGGGAAGTTTTCCTGAACTAACACTGCCCATATGCAGAAAAGAAGTATTTCAAAGTAGGGGAAGGGAATGTTGTCACAGAATGAGGAATTACTGCTATATAGAGACAAATTAAATACAGGAAGAAAGTCAATAAAGCATTTTATAGAGAACAGTGATTGGACTGCCTGAACTTCGAGAAACGGATTGCATATAATATATGGAGTAAAACAGTTATTCCTACCCTACAAAATCTT